GCTTGCGCCATCCCCGCCAGTTCTGGCACACGCTCTCGGCCTCCGAGATGAAGGAGCACAGCGAGTCCTCCTCGAAGCGGTCCGAATCCTCGAAGGAGAAGCGCTCCCCGTCCTCCCACTCGGCGAACATCAGCTCCATGGGGCCCGCAGCCCCCCGGGGCCAGGTCCCCCCTCAGCGGATCCGGGACCTGGGCCGCCGGCCGGGGGCGCAGGGGAGGCCCGGGGCCTGGGGGGCGAGCCGGGCCGGGGGGGGTCGGGGCGTCTGGGACGGGCCGTGCCGGCCCGGGATCCCGGGCCTGGAAGCGCGGCGGGGCCGAGCCGCGGCCAGCTACGAGGTGCGAACGGGGATGGCGGCCAGACTCGCCGGACTCCGGGCCCGCACGAAGCGCTCAGCAGCCGCGGCCTCCCAGCGGCTGCGGCGCCGCCTCCCCCATCAGCTGATCTGGACTTCCGGCCGCGCCGGCCGCGGCGACTTCCGTCCTCGCGCGCTGCGGCCGGCGGCCGGCGGCGCGGCGGCGGAGCGGCCCCGTCCGCCTGAACGCTACGACCCCCTGCGTGTGGCGTCGAGCCCACCCTCGGGCGCGGTAAGCGGGAGGCGGCCTGCGAGCGGGAGGCCGCCAGGCGCGCGGAGCAACTCGGCGCTCACGGCGTCCCCGGGAGTAAACAGTCGGGAGCGCGGCATGCCGGGAATCGTAGGCTGTCAAGACGCCGCCGGGGGCGGTGGGCGGGGCCACCGTCCCAACTCCGGATAGGCCCCGGCGCCGCGCCGCCTTCTGGGAACTGTAGTCCAGAGGTCTGCATTCCAGGAGACTTTTTATAGCTCCAATTGGGGAAGCACCAGGAAAAGGCATTTGATTTCAGGAAATGGTTGCACTGATTGTCGGTGGGGCCTTCGACACAGGGGGCTGTCTTTTTTTTCTTTTCGTTTCTTCTTATACGATGGCCCTTTTAGCATCCCGGTGAACTCCTATGGTTTATATACCACACCACCGCCAGGAATAATCCCTGAGCACCTCTGGGTATGACCCAACGACGCCCCACCCCACCCCACCCCACCCCAAAGGAAAAAAGAATACAAAGGGGCCAGGAGAGACAGCACAGAGGGTAAGGTGCTAGCCTTGCACAGCCAACCAGGTTCTATTCCCAGCATCCCATAGGGTCCCTCAGGCACCACTAGGAGTAATTCCTGAGAACAGAATCAGGAGTAGCCCCTGAGCACTGCTGGCTATGACTCAAAAACAAAGCAAAATTTTAAACAGGAAAAGAAAAAGAATACAAAGAAAACAATTACGTTGAAACACAGTTATCAAACACTGAAAAAAAAATTGTAATTCTTGGAAGTGTGGGTGACTATTAAACCTGGTTAGCCACGAACAAGGTAAGCCACTTAGCCACTATAGTGTATCTCTGGCCCCAGTTGTCTTTTTGTTTTGGGGCCACACTGGCAGTGCTTGGTGGGATCATAGTGGGTGTGGGATTTGAACCAAGGATAGATGCAACCGACATACTAAGCTAGTGTCTTAATCTTTGTACTCTCTCTCGACTCTGCCAGTTGTAAATTCCTTAAACATTAAATAAGATCCAGCAACAAATGTAGTAAATACTGCGATTTTAAAACTGACAGATACATTGCGGTTTCTAACATTGTAGTAAAGGGGAAGTACTATGACTTCATATAGGAATGGCTAATGATACCACAGTCCTATCTGAAATGCTGAATTTTTTGTTTTGGAGGTACATCCAAGCATATTCAGGGAACCACCTGGCTTTGACTTGACCCTTAACTCCTATATTATCTCTTGGTCTTCAAATGCTAAATGAGTCTGATCCAGCTCACAGGAGTTCACAGCGGCACCACATCCTACCTCTCCCTACCCCTCAATGCAACTACCACTCCACAGCACCACTGGGTGTAGCCCTGCAAGTCCACCAGCATCATTGCTCAGTGTTACATTCTGGAGCTCTACCACTGAATCTGCCCAATTGGCCTAATGACCCCCCCCCCAGCCCTTTAATCCGGGTTTTTTTTTTTTCCATTTTTGGGGAGGAGTGGTGTGGCTTCCGTGCTTACTCCTGATTCTGTGCTCAGGGATCACTCCAGGCACAGCTCTGGGGACCATATGGGTTGCAGTGCCAGGAGTGAACTGGGATCTGCTGCATGCAAGGCACATGCCTTAATCCCTGTACTATCTCTCCAGTCCATCTCAGCTTGGGAGGCCCACCTTACACCTCTCCCTAGAAGAAATGCTAAATTTCTCTTGTGGTTATAGATCTAATTATTTCCCTTTTCACTTTCCCATATTCTTTCCCTGAGTACTTACTGACCATAGATTAAGAATTTATAAGATAAGGGTTGGGGGCTGGAGCAACAGCACAGCAAGTAGGGCGTTTGCCTTGCACGTGGTCTACCAGGGCTCGATTCCCAGCATCCCATATGGTCCCCCAAGCAGCCAGGAGTAATTCCTGAGTGCAGAGCCAGGAGTAACCCCTGTGCTTCGCTGGGTGTAACACAAAAATAAAAATTTTTTTAAAAAAATAGGGGTTGGAGCAATAATATAGCACATAGGGCATTTGCAGCCTACCCCCATTCAGCCCCTGACATCCCGTATGGTCCCCCAAGCACTGTCAGGAGTAATTCCTCAGTGCAGAGTCAGGAGTGACCCCTGAGCATCGCTGGGTGTGCCCTAAAAAGGAAAAGAAAAAGAAAAAGAATTTATAAGAATGGTCCAAAGTGCCGAAGCATTGAGCTGCTTCCTGAAAGGCTCAAATTGCCCTGGGATATGAAAATGGTTGGATAAGGGGCTGGAGGTAGAGGAGGAAAATAGTGGCAAGCAGTACAGCACTTGCCTTGCATGTGGCTGAATTGGGTTCATTCCTCGGCACCCCATATGGTTTCCCAAGCTCACAAAAGTGATCCTTGAGTGCATAGCCAGGAGAAGTAAGTCATGAGCACCGCTGTGTGTGGTACAAAAAAGACCAAAAAAATAAGAAGAGAAAAAGAAAAATGATGGGAAGAAGTGCTCAGAGGGAGAGAACCATTGGAGGCAACATTCCTTTATATTTTACCACTGGACCTTTAAGCATACCACAGACCTCTTTGTCTATTTAATGCTATAAAATCTGGCTCTTAAAACTGTGGAAGTTGGGGGCCGGAGCGATAGCACAGCGGGTAGGGCGTTTGCCTTGCACGCGGCCGACCTGGGTTCAATGCCCGGCATCCCATATGGTCCCCCAAGCACCACCAGGAGTGATTCCTGAGTGCAGAGCCAGGAATGACCCCTGAGCATCGCTGGCTGTGACCCAAAAAGCAAAAAAAAAAAAAAAAAAAACTGTGGAAGTCACAGAAAACTTGTTTTAAAGTAAATTTATGATGCCCACTTGAGCAAATCGATGAACAATGGGAGGACAGTGCTACAGTAAATGTTTGACTTACATATGTTTTTATATAGAATTATGTAAAAATTTCTCAGGTGAAAAAGGGTCAGAGTCAAAAGCCATTTAACAATCCCTGATAGAAGGTACATACTAAAGGCAGCTATGCCTGCAAGGACACAGTGTAAATAAAAATGCAATCGTTGTTTCTAGTCTCCGATTCATGATTCACAAAGAGCAAACAAGGTGGGTATTGTTTTGGTATAGGGGCTGCACCTGCAGGAACACCAAGGCCAATCTTGCCACGCTTGAAGAACCAAACCATCTGTGTGATGGAACCCTGGTCTCCTCATCTAAAGCATGTACTCCGCCCATTCAGCGAGAATATCCTGAGGTGACACTGTTTTTGCAAGAAAATGATTTTTATGCCTTTAGAAAATAGGTGAATAGTTTAATGAGAGAAATGCACAGGCGATACACCAAGAACAATAACTGTCAAGTCTGTTTCAACATTTAGGAGAGTTCAATGAGAAGTCACTGAAGAATAAAAATAATCAGTCCTGCTGATTACCACCTAATCGGAATAAGAAATTAAGATTGCCAGATCTTTTTAATGCGTGTATATGTATGAACATATATATATATATATATATATGTATGCATTTTTTTGGCAGTGCAACTACCAAATCCACAGTGTGCAAGTGTTCCATTGCTGAGCTACATCCCTCGCACTTAGTTGCATTCTTTTAGGTGGGGACTGGGGAGCAGATTTTGTGACATTTTTCCTATTGTTATTTTTCTTTAATTTCAGGGAGGAATACTGTCCGGGCCTAATACTTTCTACCTGAGTTACAGCTTTCACCTAAAAACAATTTTTAATTCTGTGAGTCAAATAAAATCTATAATTACTTTGGGTCTAATTGTGAACTTCAGGATTACTCAGGGAATACCTTTCAGAATCTATGCACAAAATTTGTTGTTACTAAATACTTACAGATAGTGGCAAAAACACTACGTGTATACAGGCAGACTGCAATATCCCAAAGGAGAGAATTAAAAGGGCTTAAAGAAAAAAAAAAATTGTGTGGGGGCCACACCTGGTTGTGTTCATGGCTTACTCTTGGCTCTGTGCTCAGGATCACTCAGGGTACCTGGAATCAAACCCAGGTCAGTTGTGTGCAAGGCAAGCACCCTACCCACTGAACTATTACTTTGTCCCCCTTAACAAGTTTTTGTCTTGTTCCTGGGACAAATCCAGGAGTATAGAACAGACTTTGGTAGAATAATATATGGGATACAAGAACCCTTCATGCAGCTGAACCTGGTTTGATCCCTGGCATCCCATATGGTTTCCCCAAGCACAAGGAGTAATTCCTGAGCATCACCAGGTGTGGCCCGCAAACAAAAGAATGGAGTAGGGCCAAGAAGTAGAGTAGGTAAGGTGCTGGTGTTGCATGTGCCTGACCCAGGTTCAGCCCTGGCACCAGATGTGGTCCCCAAAGCTCCATTACGAGTGATACCTGAGTGCAGAGCCAGGAGTGAGTCCTGCGCACTGCTGAGTGTGGCGAAAAGCGAAACAAAGAATGGAGGGGAACCCAATCCACAACGAAAGTCCACTTTTTTTTTTATATATATAGGAATTTATTCAAGATACTGCTTAGCTTCCAAGGATTCCAAAGGATAAAAAAAAAAAAATGTTTGGCCTTCTTTACCTTTCAAAAATGACAGGGTAGTGCAAATGCCTCAGAAAATAACTTTTGCATAGTTCTCAAAAGCCACAGTCCAGTCATTGAAAGTACCTCTGTTTTCAGCTCACGTGAGGTTTGTTAGGAAACCTCTGCAACAACTTATTCATTTTCTTGGGGGGTAAACTCCCAGACGCTACAGTATCCTGGATGGATCTCATCTTTCGGGCTGCCTGAAAACACAAAACAAAAGAAGAATGACAACTCCAAATTTCCCCTTGACCTTCGGCTGATAATTCTCACAATGTCCGCAACCACAGTACACTATCAAATAGCCTGGGAAAATCTGTTTTCTCAGTACTCTTTCAACAAAAAGGCCCTAGGCCCTCTAAGTGACTATGACCTAAAACAAGCGCGGCAGGAAACAATTAGAATCTAGGTAGCAAAGCAAACGCGCTCAAGGCACAGATAAATAATGTCTTTCTGAGAAGCAATTTACGTTTCACAACAAAGGTTTTCCCATTCATTCCTTACTCTAGCAGTCCCCAACTCCAGACAGTCTGTTACTTTCATTTATGTCTGGTAATTACAAAGTCCTGAGCAATTAACGAAAGTCACTCAACCGAACCCTTCCCCAGTCCAGCGTGAAACAGCTCCTCGTCCTTTCTTTTCTTTTTTTTTTTGGGGGGGGGGGGTCACACCCGGCGATGCACAGGGGTTACTCCTGGCTCTGCACTCGGGCGGTGCTCGCGGGACCCTATGGGATGCTGGGAACCGAACCCGGGTCGGCCGCGTGCAAGGCAAACGCCCTGCCCGCTGTGCTATCGCTCCAGCCCCAACTCGTCGTCCTTTCGGGAAGAAGTGACCTTCCTACCTAGCAGGAGACAGAGCCGTGAGTTGCAGCCTCCCCCCGCCCCGTGCTCCCCAGGAGCCTGTCACCTCGGCCCTCGATGCACAATCGAAGAAGTTCTGGATCTCCTTCCTGCACGCGTCGTCGCGGAATTCGTTCCGCTTCCAGCAAGCCATCATCACCGACATCTCCGTGATGCAGGTCGCCTCTGCGGGGAGAGCGGGGAGACGCTGACCTCTCAGCCCGGCCGCCCCGCAGCCCCTCCGGGGGCCCGAGACCCCGCGTGCTCACCGCCCCGCTCCCGGCGGCGTTCCCCCACGCGGTCAGCTAGAACCAGCGGCTTGTTGGGCTTCAGCACCGGCTTCTGCGAGGTTCCGAGTCGCGCCAGGCGACCCCGCAGGCTGGGCGCCGCCATGGCGCCCCGAGCTCCCGGCAGGCTGTTCGGCGCCGCGCGTGACCCGACGTGACCCCCGGGGCCGGCTCCGCGCAGGCGCGCTCCGCGGCGTGCCGAGTCCCGCGGGGCGCTGGGGACGGTGCGCGGTACCCGGGCTTGTCTGCGTGCCAGCGCCTTGCCCGCTGCCCTTGCCCCAACCCTCCGTAGATGACTCTGGAGCGCTTACTCGGCTGTATATTTAGTGTGCTGAAATAGTTGAACACCAATTTCAAATCTCCGAAATCTCTGCCTGTTTGACAGCTGGTTATTCAATTTCGGAACTTTCCCTGACTTCTCATGCCCCGCCTCCGTCGACCTGTTATATTTTAATGTGATTCTATGCCCTAGCATTTAAAATACAAGCACTGGGCTGGAGAGCTGGTACAGTGGGTAAGGCACTTGCAGGCAGCCGCCCCAGTCCAATCACTAACACCGCATTATGGTCTAGTCTACTCCCACGAGGAGTAAGCCCAGGTCACAGCCTGTTTGTGGCCCAAACACCAAACCAAATCCTAAAATGTAAACACCATGCGAGCGGAGACTTTATAACGTTCATTAATGAGTCCCCATTGCCTGGGACATTGCTCATACTACTTAAATGCGCAAAGGTTCTAGTTAAATGAATACTAGTTAAATGAACAGATATTTCCGTAAGTTTTCAAGTTCAACATAATATCACAGAAATACAGCCAAGCACAAGACAATGTTTAAAAAAGTATTTATTATACAAAATGAAACCTGAGCTCTGAGAGAACGGCGACATTCTTAAAGTCACCAGCCCCATGCTCCAACCCCACTTGTAGCAGCATAAACTGCTTCGTCTGTGGCACTTTGACCACCAGTAACTCCAAAGCCTGCTGCTGTGTACAGAGACTGGCCCGGAACCAGAGCAAACATGCTGCTTGATCTCTCCAAAGAGAAACTGAAGCCTTTGGTATTTGGCAAGTGCTCAGGTAAGTGGCTATTTCTGATTCTTTCCTTTTTAGCACCTGTTTTACCATGCTATATGAGTACTTATATGGTGACAGAAATCAAGGAGAAAGACTGGGAAGCACTGGCCACAGAGAAGACATGAATCTACACACAAGCAATCATAACTACAGTTCACTTTGTTCATAGAAGTGCTAAAGAGACGCCAATGCTGGAGACTGCACAGTACAAACGTGAAGGTGCTTGCTTTGCACATGATCGACACCAGTTCAGTCCCTGGCACTGCATCTCTCTCCTCCCGTCCCCACTACCACCAGAAGTGACCCTGATGACCCTTGGCAGTGCCCCCACCTCGTCCCGCCAATATGAAGTGATATTAGGAAGGAGGAGGGTTGGAGCGATAGCACAGCGGTAGGGCATTTGCCTTGCACACGGCAGGCCCAGCCGAGCCAGGTTCGATTCCTCCGTCCCTCTTGGAGAGCCCCGCAAGCTACCGAGAGTATCTCACCCGCTCGGCCAAAGCCTGGCAAGCTTCCCGTGACGTATTCAATATGCCAAACAGTAACAAGTCTCACGATGGAGACGTTACTGGGCCCACTCGAACAAATCGATGAACAACGGGAGGACTGTGATTTATTCTAGGACCGTGATTAGGAAGAAGACTCCACATTTGCCCTTTTTTGTTGCATGTAATGAAGTTTGTCCTAACCTAGTTTGCACTTGGGTAATACATATTTTTTCATTATAAACCAGCAACACTTGCACTTAAAAAGACTGCAATCAGGGCTGGGGCTGGAGCAATAGCACAGCGGGTAGGGCATCTGCTTTGCACGTGGCCAACCCTGGTTCGATTCCCAGCATCCCATATGGTCCCCCGAGCACGGCCAGGAGTAATTCCTGAGTGCAGAGCCAGGAGTAACCCCTGAGCATCGCTGGGTGTGACCCAAAAATTTAAAAAAAGACTGAAATCTTAGAAATTAGAATCTTTCATTTGACATTTTTGTGGAGCCTACAATATCAAATTTTAAGGTAAGTATTTGGGGGTGGTTTTTTTTGGGGGGGAGTTGTTTGTGGGGTCACTCAGGCAGTGCTTGGGCTATTCCTGACTGGAAATTCAGGGGAAACTTACGATAATTCCATGGATACCATATCTGGTACAGGGATTGAATCTGAGCCTCTTGCATGGCGAGTGCCCACTCCTGCACACTTAGCTCTCTTCAACCCCAGTGTATTTTGGAAGGTCTGTTTTTCTCTCTTTCCATGCTGTTATGAAAGGCTTCTTTTTTTTTCCCCCAGTGATTAAACCCAGGGCCTCACACATGCAAGGAATCTACCCCTAAGCTACATCCCCAGTGTTTTGCAGGGCAATTTTTAAATAATAAAATCGGTGGGGGGTGAAAATCATCATGGTAATGAAATCCTTGGCCACACTCCACGGTGCTCTGGGCTGACTCCTGGCTCACTCTCAGAGCTTGAGGGAGATTATGTAGGGTACTAGCAACTGAAACCCAGTTGGTCACTTCCTTCAATCCCTGAGTTTAAGGGCTTGGTTGAACTATATTTTTTTCCACTATAGTTCTCAGTACTTTTTGGGAAAAATGGAACCTTTTTCATCACACAAAAACTTAAAAAGGTCTTGAGAGCTACTTCACTAAACTGAGTACTTGCTTGTATGCAGAAGGCCCAAGCTGAAATTTCAGCACCACACAGTCCTGTAAGCACCACAGGGAGCTGAAAGTAGCTCCTGAGCACTGCCAGGTAAAAGCAAAATAAAGGGGGAAAAAAGTTTAATTAGGGGCTGGAGCGACAGCACAGCAGGTAGGGCATTTGCCATGCACGCAGCCGACCGGGCTTCAATTCCCAGCATCCCATATGGTCCCCCAAGCACCGCCAGGAGTGATTCCTGAGTGCAGAGCCAGGAGTAACCACTGAGCAGTGCCGGGTGTGACCCCCCCAAAAAAAAAGTTTAATTAAAAAAGAGAAAAAAATAGATGGAAGACTCCACTAAAAAAAGAACCAAAGTCCTATAAAAATCTGTACTTTAAGGGACCAGGGATGTAGGTCAGCACTAGAGCACTTGTACTGTAGGTACAAGGCGAAGTCCTGGACCACACATTAAAAACAAAAATCTACACTTTGATTCATATTTCCCTATTTGAACATTTCAAAACCGTATGTTTTGTCTTTTGAGTCACATCAGCTATGCTCAGAGCTTATTCCTGGCTCTGCATTCAGGGATCACTCCTGGATGAGGCTCAAGGGACCATATGGATGCTGAGATGGAACCAGGTCAGGCATGTGCAGTGCAAGCTTACCTGCTGTGCTATCTGTCCAGCACATGAAGTCATGATTTTTTTTTCAGTTACATGATTTTTTTCTACTATAATTTCCAGGCTTAGTTTCTATCTTCAACCTACAATAGAACAGGACACTTCATGACACTGTCATAGCACACGAACAGAATAAATTAGTAGCCAGAATCAAGTGAGAAGGAATCCTAGATATGCCCTAAATAAGAAATGAACTACGGTTCAGAGAGGTAGTAGCTCATGGGTTCAGTCCCCAACACTCCATGGTCCCTTTCACCCCCAAGCACCACTGGGAAAAGCACAAAGCAGGGAGTAGCCCACAGAGCATGGCCCCCCAAAACAAAAAAGCAAACAAACAAAAAAATACTAAGCTGCCAAATCTACAATGAATTTAATGCAGGTAAGCCTATGAAAGGCTTCATTTTTTGTAATGAGGTGTCCTGTTCTATTGTAGGTTGAAGATAGAAACTAAGCCTGGAAATTATAGTAGAAAAAAAATCATATAACAAAAAAAAAAAATCTCATGATTTCGTGTGCTGGAAAGAAAAAGCTACTTAAAAGTATGACCTGAAAAGCAAAGTAAATGACACCAAAAAATACAACTCTAAAGGCTGGAGTGATAGTACAGCAGGTAAGGTGCTTGCTATCCCCATATAATGGGCATATGGGGTGTCAGGGATTGAATCTGGGCTGGCCACGAGCAAGGCAAGCACCCTACACACTGTACTATCTCTCCAACCTCAGCATAACAGTTTTTAAAGCAGGTGAGGAGAAGAAACTCAGGACACTGAATAATGAGGGATATGAAGAGATTAGAAATGTTAAAACTCTAAACCTAGCTCATCTTACCTTATTTGTAGCCAAGTACTAAGAGATGTGCAACTGAACCTCAGAACAAAGATGAAATGGCTAGAGAAATGAGAAATCCTTTTAAAAAGTCATTTACTGGCCTGAGCAATAATAGAGCAGGGAAGGCATTTGCCTTACACAGTGCCGACCCGGAGATGCTCCCCAGCATTTCATATGGTCCACTGAGCCTGCCAGGATTAATTCCTGAGTGCAGAGCCAGGAGTAACCCCTGAGCATGCCAGGAGTAACACCCCACTCCTCCCCTGCAAAAAAAAAAGAAAAAAATTTAAAAACTCCTTGAACTACATGGGCGCTTCAGACTTCTGCTTCCTGCTAAACCAAGTACTGGACAATGCCTTCATTGCACTTTGAGGAGAGGCTGTTAGTATAAGCTGAAATCTTGATTATACATCATTAGATAAAATACCAGTAAGTATAACAGAATTCCTTGTACTCATACGAGTGAAGGGTTTATCAGCAAATGCCCCTCATGATCCATAGTTGAATAAGTACTTTATCTCCGTAGCTCTACCCAGGCTCTCTGATGGGACTAATTAAAGATTTTGGTTCCGTTTTATGAAGATCTCATGTAGGTAATCCCAAAATTTCTGCGGCTGTGTCTCATTGTTGTGGATCATGGCAGTGAGAGCGTTCCCCTGGTCCAGACCTTGCCAATAGTCTTGCAGCCACATCTCCTTCCAGCTGAAACAACAAAACAGGGGTTGGATTATGGAATCTCTACGCATACAAGTCCTGCCTAACAACCCAAGTCTGTTTCTAGGGTAGACAGGCCCTTTGCTCTGGTTGAAGCCTTTGTCCACATAAGCCAAGTTTCGTAAGTTGTTGCCTTGAATTCTTTCTATTTTACATCTTTCGCCGTGCTTTTCAGTTCCTATCTATCTCACCAAGTACGGTTTTGTTTTGGGGTCATACCACGTGGTAACCAGGAGCTACTCCAGCTTGGTGCAGGGGCGTCAAAATGAGGGTCCTCCACACTCCCCTGGCGAGGCTTGCAACAGCAATGCACTGCACTGGAGTCTTCTGAGCTCTTTGCCTGCTCGGGCACCCACCTCCCCAAATCCCCCCGCAGACAGGATGGCTGGGCCTGTGTGGGCAGCATCCCACAGCGCCTCGGGCTACTTTGGCAGACACCAGTCGGTGAGGCGCTGGGATTGGCCTTACCTGTCATTCTCGGGAATCTCCTCCACACTGCCGAAGCCCGGTGTGGGCATGGGGCAGGCCATGTGTGAGGGCTGGGCAATGCGCGGCTCAGGGGCAGGGAATTCTCCCGGGGAGGCATCGTGGGCCTTCTGGGCCTGCAGCCGGGCCAGTTCGTGGTCACACACAAAACACTCGAAGCCGTTTAGGTAGTTGGGCTGCAGGGGATCGTTGACACCCCACTCGCGCTGATCCAGGCTGTCCAGCAGGAGCTGGTTGGTGATGCCCCCCGGTTGCTTGTAGGCCAGATATTTCATGTATTCCTCGTCGTTCCTGTCCAGGAAGTCGATGAACTCGGCCAGCTTCTGGGGCGACTCGAAGTCGTCAATGAGGATGATGGAGTGGTTGTTGGGCATCCAGTCTCGCACGGAGGGGGAGCCGCGGTACACGGGCACAGAGCCCAGGTGCAAGGGGCGCCACAGTTTTTCCGTCATGTAGTCGTCGCAGATGGCATTCTCCAGGGCCAGATGGAACTTGTAGCGGGACAGGAAGGCCAAGAGCTCGGGGTCCTCGGTGGTGGCGGTGGCGGTGTCCTGCAGGCGCGGGGTGGGCAGCTCCCGGTTCTGGAGGCACTTCCCGTAGGAGTCCACCTGGGGGGGGGAGAGGGCCGGTCAGGGGGCGCGCTCGCTCGCTCGGCGCGGGCCCGGGCCCGCCCCCCAGCCCGCGCCCACCGGGATGTGGCGCATGAGCTCGCGCACGTAGCGGTCGCGGTCGGCGGGCACGTCGCAGTGGGACTGCAGGTAGAGCAGCGGCGCGTAGCCGCGGCGGCGCCACCCCGCGCGCTCCCGGAGCGGGGGCGCGGCGCGGCGCAGGTAGGCCAGGCCGGGCAGCCACTGCAGCGGCAGCGGGTAGTCCGAGTGGCGGCTGAAGGTGGCCGTGAGGTTGAAGAGGCGGATGCCCGCGCCGTGGCTCAGCAGGAAGTTGTTGAGCGGCGACTCCTCGTGCAGCAGCGCCCAGCTGTGCTGCGGCCGGCGCGGCAGCGGCGCCTCGGCCGCGCGGAAGTCGGTGCCGTAGAAGAGCAGCGCGCGCGTCCGCGGGTCCCGCAGCGCCCGCCGGTCCCGGGACGCCACGCAGGCGCCGCGCGCGCACTCGATGCGCTCCGAGTCGCCGGGGAAGTGGGGGAAGAGCCCGGGGCTCCACCACAGCAGCAGCGGCGCCTCCGCCGCCCCCGCCGCCGCCCCCGCCGCGCCCCGCGCCGCCGCCCGCCCGAGCCCCGCGCCGCCCCACGGCTCCGCCCACCCGCCGGCCTCGCCCTCGGCCCCGCAGCCCGCCGCCCCGCACACGCTCAGCGCCCCCAGGACCACCAGCGCGCCCCAGACCGCCATGGCCCCGCCGGCGCCGCCCCGCGCGCGCGCATGCGCAGCTCCGCTCGCTGCCCACGGGGCGGCCGCGCCCTAGGGCCCGCCGGGGAAGCGATCGATGGTCACGGGGCAAGGCGGCCGCCGGTTACATCTTAATTTATTTTATTTCTTTACAAATTAAAGATGCATTGAAAAATAAACCAATGAGGAGAAATGAGAGCGAGGTCCGGAGCAGGGGGAGCCCAGGCTGGGAGCAGGCAAGCTGGCCACCATCTAGCCTAGCCCTTGTCCTGCCCCAGACAGTTGGGGTTGGAAGATACATGTCGGCCGCTCTCAACACCAGGGCCCAGTGCTATCCCGCGGTGTCCTGGCAGGAGAGGACGGAGCTCCAGCAGCCTACGCCTCTCTCCCCGGTGACCCCCAGCTTGGAGAAAGCGGTGTTTCCAGTGGAAGCTCAGAGTTGGGGTGTGGGCTGGCTCTGTGAGGTATTGCAAGTTGACGGCCAGGCTCCCTACAGAACCTCCAGTGCTGGGGCCTCTCCGCCGAGGAGGAGGCCGGGGGCCCTCCCAGGTCGCAACAGACTGCAATTCAGTTCCCAGGCTGAGCATTCAGCTCTCACCACGCGCCTCCACTCACGGCGATCACCGACCGTTGCCGAGGAGAAAGAGCAGTGGGAGCTGAGAAAGCTCCTCCACCACCCGCAGGGACTCTCACTTGCTGCTGCCTTCTAGGCCCCTGAAGGGACCCACCACTTTTCTCTTCACCTCCTATGGCCTCCACCTGCGGCTCTTGTGCACCTGTATGTTTTATCCCTAATATAGGAAGTTGTTGATGACACTGAGCTGAATCAGCCCTCCTGCCCCCTGCCCCCAGTAACCCTAGGATTCCCCACTCCTTCCTGCCTACCCCTCTTGTGGAGGCTGGTCCAGAGGGACACATATTGCTGCCAGGGTCTGGGTGCCCCCAACTCTGAATCATATACAGTGAACTGAGGAACTACATTCATTATGACGGGATTAGCAGGAAAAAGGAGGGTCAAGTGAAGGGATAGGGGCACCTTCCATCAGCAGGACATGACAGAGTGGTAGGATACTTGAGCCCAGAAAGAAGGTGTCTCCTTAGACCTCCCCCACCCCCCAAGAGACTGAGGTCAGCTTACATGACTTATAAGATAGGAAAGTGTCCCAGTTTCTCTGCTCTCCTGGGGTAACTTCCTGGAAGCTGGCCTGGGACCCTATGCCATCTACCCACTTGCTCTAGCTCAGTAGTTGTCGAATTTCTTTGTGCATGTGGCAGAGAAAGTCCACATAGGACGCTCCTCCATTCAGGCTCTTGTCTTCCACCAGGAAGTGCTTGAAGAGCATCTCCAGCTTGTCCTCCTGTTTTACCACGATCAGCTACAGGCAAAACACAGGGTCATGAGACAACGCTAGAGGGAATCAATTACACATGCTGTGAAGTCCCATTATCCAGTCACTTCCCCATCAGGTAGAGGACTTGACAAGGTAAGAAATTCGGGGTCCACGTCAGTATTACCTTCATGTACCGTGATCGCTGTGCCCTTAAGCTGTCAATGAGGCCTCGAACCTTCTTGGACAATGGATTATCCAGAACTGGCAGAACACTCTGGAAGACAAATTTATTTTATTCGTTTATGATAAGGGAAACCATCCAGTCCAGATGGAGTAGTGCACATTTCTGTATTGCCGAAATTTAGAAGCTTGGAAACAATGACAATAGCCCCCTCTCCTCCCTTCCAAGTGCTCTGGCTGTTTCAGGGCCCCAGGCCTGCACAACTCCTATTAGGCCACAAAATACACTCCCACACCAAAACTCCCCTTTACTTCCTATCCTCACCAAGCCACTGACGATCTGACTGAAGGAGGAGACACTGAAGAGACTCTGGACAACGCCCTGTTGGACACTGGCTCCCACCCAGAGGAAGAGGTTGAGCCCATTCTCCAGCAAATATATATCCCCATTGCTTAGACGCTCTTCAGATGCTCGAACTGCTGGTGGTTCTGTGGTGCTCTCAATGGGAGACTTTGTCTACACAAAAGGAAGGGAGCAAAAGGTTACCAAGGCTCAGAAGGCTCACTTGCTGCCCCCAGTTCCCCTGCTGCATACACAAGTTCAGAAAGCCAAGACTCAGAAACCATCCCTTCTTGAGTCTTTATCACTCTGTGAAAATTAGACCAGACAACATAGGTCAAACAAACTCATTAGTGTCAGGCACTGGTAACACTGACCCTTCCTCCTTGCTGCCCCCCTCCACTCATCCTTTTGGCTTTTGAGCCACACCTGACTGTGCTCAGGGGTCACTCCTGGTGGGCTTGGGGGATCATATGGGATGCCACTCGGGCCTCTCCTGTCCCTTTGAGGCCTGGGAGATCGTTCCAAGAGCTGGAAGACATGGCCCACATATATCAGGCCCTGAGTTCAATCTCCATTGCTGCATGGACCCTAAGCACCAACAGGTGATTCTGGTAGCCTGTAGGCTCCATGGGGGGCTTCAGTGATCCCTAGCCCCACAGGCTTGACCAGCACCATGTCACAGTGAAGCATCGGGCCCCACTGCAGGTGTAGTACCACCAGGAACCACCCCAGGAACCTCAGGCACCATTGGGAAGATGACGGGACAAAAATCACCAGGCCCCTTCTCACAGCCCAGCCCTCAGGCGTACCAGTGGGAGGAGACGAGGATAGAAGAAGACATTAGTCTCGGCCACATCCATGGAGGTCACCAGCTGTCGGACATAGGCACGGTCATCCGTGGTGACCTCGGCTCCAGGCTGCAGAACATCACTCTTCAACACACAGTTCAGGTAAACTGGGAGTAGCTTCATGCACTCAGGAAGGATCAACTGAGGGGTCACCAGAGAAAGCCCATGATTAGAAGCAATTGCTCACCTAGGGACAGAGGTCCCCAGCCACACCTCCACTGTCACATTTGGCCTACCTGTCCTGCAGAGGAGGGACTGGCACAGTTCTTACGGTAACAGGCCAGGATCTGGGCACACTGGGCGACGAGCGTGTCACGGACAGTTTTCACAGGGCTGCTCAGGACCCCCCGGTATGCTGGAGGAGGAAGGGAGATGGCCCGGTCACCCACTGCCCCCCGTCACATGCACCTCCCCAGGCATGCTGAACTGATGCTCATCTGGGCACTTCTTAACCCCAGCCCACCCCGCCTCTGGCCTCACCAAACTTGGCCATGTAGTTGATGAGTGTGTCAGTCTCACAGTTTCGATACAGATCAGCCAGCTGGGTGCAGCAGTTCAGTGCCAGATTATGGATACGGAGACGTCGCTGTCCCGCACAGCTGGTGTAGAGCAGGGCACACTGTGGGGGGGTGGGGGGGAAGAGATGGGAACTCACTCTCCCACCTGCACCAGAGTCTGAGGAACAAAGGTCCCCTGGCAACACTAAGAACTAGGGCTGAAGCTCCCCAAATCTATTGGGCTTACCACCCCTTTTCTGAAAAAAAGCAACTAAATCAGCTATTCAGGTTCCTCTGGAAATCTACCCTAAGTGAACAAAGAGAAAGCGCACCCCCCCACCTCCCCCCATGGGTCTGATGTTATATCACCACCCGGAACTGTTCCAGGACCCCCAGCCCCAACTGCACCAGAGCCTCCTGAGATCATTCCAGCATCTGCAGGAAACTCATCTTCAGAACCACCTCCCTTCCCCAACTTCTAGCGCCCGCTCTAACTCCCCCTCGTCCCGACTGCCTTTTTCTACCCGGTGGAAAGACCCCAGCCCTTGCCCCACCCCCACCTGCAGGAGAGCGCCACTCTCTTCATTCAGCCGGTCATCATGCTTGAACTCCACAGTCACCGTCTTGTCCCCGTCCAGCCCTGCCAGCTCCACATCTGTTGTGTTGCTCATGTAGAAAGCCCCAAAGAAATCGACAGCACGGATACCTGGGGCCACACGGACAGGGTCACGGCTGAATGTATGGCAGGAACTACTTGCTCCCTCCCAGATTTAGCGCCCCCTCCCAACTCTTGCCGACTAGGACTGACCAGTGCTTGTCCGGACCCGCATCACAGCATCAAAGCCAACGACCTTCTGTACGTCCCAACGCAAGTCACTCAGGAACCGTTCCTGGTCATTCTCCACCTGCGGGCCCAGAGGCACAGGACTTCAAACTTCTTGGAGTCAATCTCCCTGAACCCCCTCCACTCTCCAAGTCTGGATCGCAACTACAAGTAACAGCAAAAACGCTAATAATGGTAATGGTAATGATTACTTTTCAGCGTGTACATGGACAGAGATATAAAGTGCTTTACAAAATTATTCCTGGCGCTGGAGTGATAGCACAGAGGGTAGGGCATTTGCACTGCATACTAGGTGTACTCCCTGACATCCGATATGGTTCCCTGAGTACACTGGCATGTCATGTGGTGCACATCCCGTATCCCACCACCAGGAGGGATTCCTGAGTTCAGAGCCAGGAGTCGCCCCTGATCATCGCCAGGTGTGATCCCACCCCTCAGAAATTATTTCTGACATGATGAAGAAACAAGAGGTAAATACTCTATCCCCAGATTACATAGCCAGTAGTGGTAAGGCCAGGATATCAACTAAGGACTGATTTCAACCTTCACCCCCGTCTTCCTGTTCACCATTATCTTCTATATGCTCTAACACAATTCCTGTTAGTGAGTCAGCAGCTACAAAGCTACTGCACATGTAGACAGACATTCCCAATGCTCCCCCCAGCTGCTCCCCGCCCAAAACCCAGGCCATACCTGAAAGCAAGCATATTTGTAGACAGAGCCACCAGTGAGCTGGGGCACAACAGAGAGCGTGGCCACATCCACATACTGATTAGGGAAGAGGAAGAGGTCTACACAGCAGCCTTGGGCCACACACTCTTTGGCCAGGGTTTGATAGGCACCGGTCTGAGGCTGGAACAGAGTCTGGAGAGGAAGAAGACACAATAATCAGAGCTCAAAGGGCTGACTAAGCACATGCTCTGCATGGGGGAGGTTCAATTCCCACCACCGCATGGTCCC